ATAAACGACTTAGAATTTAGATCTTAAATTAGAATTAGACAACATACACCGATCTTTCTTTAGAAAACTACGACCCAGACACTCGTCCTATTAGGGTGTGATGTCCCTCTAACCGTAAACTGCCTTTATATGATAGCTTTGATTTTAGGGAACTTTAGTGAAAAGTTCCCGATACTGTTCACTTTAAAGAAAAACCATATTTTTACACTAAAAAGTCAATCATGGTACTATTCACTTTACCCTTTATTTTGCCCTTATCGTTAAAACTCAAAATTTTCAAGCCATTTTCATTTGTTTTCCTTTGATTTTACTACCACTTTGAGTTTCAATACTTCCCACTTAAAGAACCCATCTAATACTTGATCATTATGCTTCATGATGTAAATGCACATACTTCATAGAGATATCATCAACAAATGTGACACAATGCAATATGCTTATTTCCCAAAGATATTAATTAGAGATGGTTTAACGACAACATTGAGAAGACAACAATATTTCTAAATATTCTATTTATCATCATAGATTACTATTCTTCTAGTAACCTCTTCATTAAAGAGAGAGGATCCTCGCCGAATCCTCTTTGTGAGGATTCTGGGAATCCTCCGATCATATTTGTTTATCATACATCATGCGGCCAGTTTTTGTCAGGTATTGTTTATATTCAATTTTAAATAAAAAAATTTACAATGAACGGATGTGATTTGAGGATCCTCAGGATCCTCACAAAGAGGATCCTCACTCTTCATTAACAACCTTCTCGTTTTAACTTTTCAACTTTCTTCTCAAGCTAAAGTTTTGCAGGATGACCAGAAATTTGTCTATTTTTAAAGTTACTATTTAAGAATCAAATGTGTTAGAAATTAACTAAATATGAAACCGTTTATTCATCTAAAGTTATTCAATAAATAGATGAATCATGTTATTTAGTTAAAAACTAAAATTTAGATTCCGTCAATTAATAAACAATTGTTAATTTAATTGATTATTTTTTAAACAAATAATATTATCTATACTAAGAGAGGAGTAGTAGGTTAAGCCTCCTCACTCTTCATTAAAAACCTTTTCGTTTTAAATTTTCAACTCTCTTTTCAAGCTAAAATTTTGCAGGATGACCATAATCATCTATTTTTAAAGTTACTATTTAAGAATCAAATGTGTTAGAAATTAACTAAATATGAAATCGTTTATTCATCTAAAGTTATTCAATAAATAAATGAATCATGTTATTTAGTTAGAAACTAAAATTTGGACGCTGTCAATTAATAAACAATTGTTAATTTAATTGATTTTATTTTAACAAACGATATTATCTACAGTAAGAGAATAGAGGAGTAGGTTAAGCCTCCTCACTCTTCATTAAAAACCTTTTCGTTTTAACTTTTCGACTCTCTTTTCAAGCTAAAGTTTTGCAGGATGACCAAAATCGTCTATTTTTAGAGTTACTATTTACGAATCAAATGTGTTAGAGATTAACTAAATATGAAATTGTTTATTCATTTAAAGTTCTTCAATAAATAGATAAATCATGTTATTTAGTTAGAAACTAAAATTTGGATGCCGTCAATTAATAAACAATTGTTAATTTAATTGATTTTTTTTAAACAAACGATATTATCTACACTAAAAAAGTAGAGGAGTAGGTTAAGCCTCCCCACTCTTCATTAAAAACCTTTTCATTTTAACATTTCGACTCTCTTTTCAAGCTAAAGTTTTGCAGGATGACCGGAATCGTCTATTTTTAAAGTTTTTATTTAAGAGTCAACTGTGTTAGAAATTAACTAAATATGAAATCGTTTATTCATCTAAACTTATTTAATAAATAGATGAATCATGTTATTTAGTTAGAAACTAAAATTTGGACGCCATCAATTAATAAACAATTGTTAATTTAATTGATTTTTTTTAAACAAACGATATTATCTATATTAAGAGAGTAGTGGAGTATGTTAAGCCTCATCACTCTTCATTAAAAACCTTTTTGTTTTAACTTTTCGACTCTCTTTTAAAGCTAAAGTTCTGCGGGATGACAAGAATGTAATCCCACATCGACCAACAGAGAAGGGGTGATGTGCCTTATATGTACACAGGGCCGGTCCAGAGATTTTTGAGCCCCGGGGCGACGCCAAAAAAAGTGCCCTAACTTCATATAAGAAAATTATTTATTTTCACATGTAAGACATTGATAAAATTATACTTAGAAAAGCACTTCAAACTCAATAATTTAGAAACACAAAAAGACTAATTTATTTTGTATTGAGAGAAGAAAACCAAACAACTTTGGGCTTATAAGTAGATAGATGATGAATTTTGTTTTCCATTTGAACTTTGAAAGTGTTTTTGTATAAATCATGAGGTGTTTTTTCTTATTTACTAACCTTGTCAATATGGGACTAAAAAAATAATGATGTTTTCGAGTCTTTAATTGATATGTATTAGTAATGAATGGGCATTAAATTAAATATTTTGATAACACGTCATATAATTTACAAATTTGCGCTAAAAATTTGGTCTACGTATTACTCATTGTTGAAGATTAGACTTGAATTGAAACGAATATTTAAAAATAACAACCCACATAGCTACAAGCTAGTAACTAAAAATAAATTAACAACCAAACAAAAAATAAATTAACAACCAAACAAAAATTTGTAAAAATTGAAAAAAATAAACATGCACATAGCGTTTCGAACTTAGGACCTCTTGTTAATTTTAAACAACAAAAACCATTGCTTCTAATTACACTTCTTGATCCTTTAACCAAATTTATAAATTTATACTCTTATGAAAATAAATTTGTAAAAATTAGAAAGTAAATAAGCACATGTGGTGTTTTGAACTCAAGACCACTTATTATTTTCAAATGACCAAACCACCTCTTCTACTTAAATTTCTATGTCATTGAACCAAGTTTTATAAATTTATACTCTTATGAAAACATATATAAATATATCACCCTAATAATTTTGGTGCCCCCAATATTTTTGGGCCCCGGACGGTTGCCCTGCTTGCACTGGGCCTGGGCCGGCCCTGTATGTACATGCCCACCTCCATATAGCACAAGGCCTTTTGGGGACTCAATAACTTTGGATTCCATTGGAACTCCGAAGCTAAATGAGTTCGGGCAAGAGCATTCCCAGGATAGGGTGACCCTCTAGGAAGTTCTTGTGTAAGTTCCCAGAAACAAAACCGTGGTGGTGTGGTCGGGGCCCAAAGCGGATAATATCGTGATACGGCGGAGTCGGTCTGGGATGTGACACATAATTGTCTATTTTAAAAGTTACTATTTAAGAATCAAATGTGTTAGAAATTAACTAAATATGAAATCGTTTATTCATCTATAGTTATTCAATAAATAGATGAATCATGTTATTTGGATAGAAACTAAAATTTGGATGCCGCCAATTAATAAACAATTGTTAATTTAATTGATTTTTTTAAACAAACGATATTATCTACACTAAGAGATTAGATGAGTAGGTTAAGCCTCCTCACTCTTTTTTTTTAAACCTTTTCGTTTTAATTTTTCGACTCTTTTTTCAAGCTAAAGTTTTGCAGGATGACTAGAATCGTGTATTTTTAAATTTACTATTTAAGAATCAAATGTGTTAGAAATTAACTAAATATGAAATCGTTTATTCATCTAAAGTTATTCAATAAATAGATAAATCATGTTATTTAGTTAGAAACTAAAATTTGGACGCCGTCAATTAATAAACAATTGTTAATTTAATTGATTTTGTTTTTAAACAAACGATATTATTTACACTAAGAGAGTAGATGAGTAGGTTAAGTCTCCTCACTCTTCATTAAAAACCTTTTCGTTTTAACTTTTCGACTCTCTTTTCAAGTTAAAGTTTTGCAGGATGACCAGAATCGTCTATTTTTAAAATTACTATCTAAGAATCAAATGTGTTAGAAATTAACTAAATATGAAATCGTTTATTCATCTAAAGTTATTCAATAAAGAGATGAATCATGCTATTTAGTTAGAAACTAAAATTTGGAAGCCGTCAATTAATAAACAATTGTTAATTTAATTGATTTTTTTTTAAACAAAAGATATTATCTATACTAAGAGAGTAGAGGAGTAGGTTAAGCCTCCTCACTCTTCATTGAAAACCTTTTCGTTTTAACTTTTCAACTCTCTTTTCAAGCTAAAGTCTTGTAGGATGACCAGAATCGTCTATTTTTAAAGCTACTATTTAAGAATCAAATGTGTTAGAAATTAACTAAATATGAAATCGTTTATTCATCTAAAGTTATTCAATAAATAGATGAATCATGTTATTTAGTTAGAAACTAAAATTTGGATGATGTCAATTAATAAACAATTGTTAATTTAATTGATTTTTTAAAAAAACAATATTATCTACACTAAGAGAGTAGAAGAGTAGGTTAAGTCTCACAATAGGTTAACAATAATATGGTTCAAATTCGCTTTTAACGAAAATCGAATCTAAGATTTCTTATTATAAGTGAATATGAATACCGCTTGACTGTATTACTAAGTAACAATTTAATTGATTTTTTGCGTATATAAAAAGTTCAATTATTATGAAACATTGTAAGAAAGAATGAGAGCCGAAAAAATAAAAGGAAAACTAATGAAAATGACTTGAAAACTTTGAGTTTTAATGATAAGGACAAAATAAATGGTAAAGTGAATAGTACGAGGATTGACTTTTTAGTGTAAAAATGTGATTTTTCGTTAAAGTGAACAATACCGGATGCTTTTCGTTAAAGTTCCCTGTTAAAACAACATGAAAAAAAAAGAAATTGAAAAAACGAAAGAAAAGGGCGGGACACGAGACGTGTATTTGATAATCGTGGCAGGACAAGAAGATACGGAAAGTAGTGGAAACGAAACCATTCTGAACCGTAGATATCGTCCAGAAGAAATCCTAACCGTCGTATTTGAACCATGTGCGAATAGGAAAGCTCCAGTACCCATATGGTACACTGTATATAAGCCCAAGCTCTACAGTGTGAACCAAACCAACAAATCCCACACTCACTACACTCTCTCGTTTGGCGCCACAACTAAAACAGCCACAGGTCTCTCTCTCTCTTTCCCTCTCTCTCTCTAGCTTTCTTGCAACTAAATTATGGCGCTAATTTCTTAGTTATAATTAAATTCAATTGGGTTTGTGGTTCTTGAATTTCTTAGTTATAATTAACCCGTTGAGAATCATGAATTTAGTGTCAGAAAAATTGATGCCAATGTATGCAGTTATTAGTTCAATTAATTCTTCATTTATTTTTATTATTTATTTGCTATTTTTTATTAGCTTAAACTCGTAGAGCAATTATTTTAAAATTAAATTGCAAGATTAATTCTATGAAAGTTACCCCAATAAATAAAGAATGGGCATTTGAACTAAGAAATCTGTTTTTTTTTTTTTTTTTTTTCTCCCCTTGTTTTTGTTTAATGGAGGTCTAACTCTGATGAACAAGTGGAGATGTATGCTTTTGATAATTTAGGTTTGTTTTCTTGTTTCAGTCTTTTAGTTATTGGAGTTCATAACCAGCAGGATTGCAATACCTTCCAAACAAATGGGAACTAAGGAAAGCAGTGCACCTTCAACTCAGGTGCTCTCTTTCTCCCTATCTCTCTCCCCCCCTCTCTCTCCAGATCATTATGCACCTTCAACTTACTTGCATATTGATGGATGAATACATTTTCTTTTGTAACCAATTAAACTAAATGGCCAGGTTGTGGCATTCGAAATGCAAAAGAAAGAAGAACTGATTCTCGATGAGTACACGGAGTCATTGACAATATACGAGGGGGGCTCAGTAGGTACGGATTTCGTAGGTAAAAGAGTTGCTGAAGGCAAAAAGACAACTTGTATTTCTGGAAATAATTGTGATGGTGCTTCTCAAAGGTATTGTTAATTTGTCTCTATGATCAACGCCTTCGGTAACATGTTTTTATTTGGCAAGTCTGTTCATGTTTTGCATTGTTTCCTTTCGACGGTGCTGCAAGCAGAGGTGAGGACTCATCAGACAAGAGCGGTGGAACTAGCCGAGTATGCCATTCTACTTAATTTTATGCTCAATAAGTTGATTTCATGAATTCTTCAGTTCTTTTTGTGTGTTTCCTTTCTTGCTATGATCTAGTTTCAAGCATACTATGACGCTCAGGTACGATAACTACTTTAGAATTATTGATTCATGTGATTGGAGATGAGCAACATACTCGCCAATGCTTTTCTTTTTCTTATAGAACATCAAATGTGCAAATGAAGTGGGGATGCTCTTATCATCTTCATTTGCACAGTTGGACCTATCATCCTTTGGATTAGTTATCATTTTCGGAACCTTCCAATGTTTCGGTTCCTTTCTGTTCTCCTTGCTATTCACTCATGGTGTCTGGTATATGCCAATGCAACTATTGTTCTCTCCCTTGCAGTACTCCCCTCTATTCATTTCTATTGTTTTGACAGGAAGATTATGAACAGAGAATGGAAAGAAGAAGACTGGCTAACAGGGAAGCTGCTAGGAGGTCAAGAATACGCAGACAGGTAATATATAGAGATTTCATAATTTCATTCGTTAATTAGCTTTTTTCCCTTCCAGTAGAGGGTGCGGTATTTTGTGAGCAGAGTTTTGTTCTTACCTTTTTCAACGTTTAGGATACAGTAGGATACAGTATATAAGGTGTCAAACACTACTTGGATCTCTGTATTTAATATTGTCACTCTAGGAAAACACTATCTTGGTTTCTATGCAAGAACTTGCTTATGTGTCTCAAGGATTTGATGGGGATGATAAGAAGTACAACGACGTTTGAAGTCTTAATCGTCGATGCAAGAACATTCTTTTAGGTTTGAACTCTTAATCGTCGATGTAAGCAATGCGTGGAGTGGAGACTCAAAATTTAAAGGAAATTAGATAAGTTTCAGATATCGGATAAGTTCAGTACATATTGATATTCTACGGTTCTCTAGGCCTGAACTTTTTCGCCTTTCCCATTCCTGGTATCATGATTTAGAAACTAATGTAGAATATAATCCGTAAAAATCAAACCTTCCTCCATCTTCTTCTGTGTTAGCCTTCCCGGAAAATTATGGTACCGTATAAGTGGATTGGTTTACCTGACCTGCAGGAGTTGGTACCGCGGCTGAAAGATGTTTTAGCAAACATTCCAAGCTCTGTTACTCTTCTTTTCTCATGCGTTGATTGTAATGTATCTCTTCTTTCTTAGATGATGAACTTTTGACTCTTCGCATTTGATATAGGAGTTTCTTTTTCACTCGATTATTGTTGTGTTCCATATGATATATTGGTTTTGTATTACTTTCCAGCAAGAATGTGAGAAACTACAAGCAACCGCAGAGATTCTTGAGAGCGAGATTGCCCAGATCCCACGCGATATATGGAGGCTTTCTGAGCAAATTGAGAAACTCAGGGAAGAAAACGACAGCATATTTGTTAGTCATCTAAACTCTAGTTTTTCTTTATCCTCTGTCCCTATTTTCCTTCAGTTTACCTTTTACTTCTGGAAGGAAGAAAGAATTCACGACATCGATTTGCCAATGGAACAGGATGAGCTAGAGAAGAAGTATGGTGCAGATGCAGTTTCTGATCTGAGAGCTGTGAAGGACTCTTTGGAAGGTAAAGGCAAAGACACTGACCCAAAGACGCCGAGCAGAGACAGCTGAAGTCCTGATCCTCCATCACTCAGTTCGGGCCTGTAATCACTCTGCTGTTGTTTCATGTAGTTGAAAGCTCCAGAAAAATTCCTACTTGTGGATAAAGAAGTAGCACCAGTGTTTTTAAGTTCCCGCCTGAGCGCTGGGTGGCTTGGCACCACTGTGATTAGTCCTAGGCGTTTAAAAGAATAAGAAAGGACGCCTAGACCTAATTAGGCGAGATGGGTAGTTTTGTAACTTTTTTGCTTTATTTTTTTTTATTTAACAAAATGTCTTAGGACGCAACTTTCGGTTAGTCAAAAAATAGATAAGTTTTATTTGACATTTTATTTTTCAATTAATTGACATTCATTATATGTTTGTTCCCTATGTTTTCAATATGTTTTAGTACTTTATAATTTATATTTACTTTGCAATTTATGTATCCTAAACACAATTATGTATGTTTTAAGTATAAGTAGACGCTTATTAATACGTTATATAATAAACTTAACTAAACTAAAAAAAAAAACCGTCTAGGCGCTAGCCCCTGTTTGCCGCGGGACTAGTGCTTGGCATTTTTAAGAATATTGAAAAATGCCATGCGTAAATATGATATCACAGGATTTCAATTCTTAAAACGATTTCAAACAGAAAAAAATTGGCCTTAAATCCTACAACTCTCTGGATATTGTTTTGAACACAAAGTATGACATTCGAACATATACGTTACAATTCCTTTGAACACAAAGTAAAAATGTCCTGAGTTTATGTATGATTAGGGGGAACAATCTCCATCACTCTGAACCATCAGGGAAAGGTTTCAGTGCATTCTGCTTCCCGTTGACATAAAATTCCACAACAGCTAACATTCTAGGATACTTATCGGGATGGTAATTAACGTGAACAATCACCGGCTTTAACTTACTCAGTTTAGCGTCTTTCCTCACGGTCTTGAAGAGGACCTTGCTGTTCATAAAGAGATAGAAATCCATAGTTCTCCTGGAAGCATGAAGTCCATCGTACCCGGGATGAGAGGGGAAAAAGAGTTCCTCATTGAACACTGCCTGGTCCCAAGCCCGCTCCTTAGAGAGTCGATTGGCCACACGATCCAATAGCTCAATTGAAGGAATTGTTGGTCGAATGTAGAAGAAACCAGAGTTATAAACCCACATACGCATTGTATGAGCATATCGAGCCCAACCCATTCCTGGCTCATCAAAGACGTCGTTGTAACCATAACCAGTCATATTGTTGTGACCATCAGTCATGGACTCTACATCCGAATCGCGATATAGATGATCAAAAGGGTTTTGCAAGTACACAATATCGACATCTGAGAGAAGAACACTATACCCGAGCTGCAAAAACTCCCTCAGAACACGAAATTTTAACCCGGAGACAGCATGGTTACCTCCGGTCCTCGCAACTGAATCAATGACTTTGTCTGGGTCTCTCATATAAACTGGAACATCTTTCGATTCACAATATCTAGCAATTTCTTCGTCCAAAGCAACAACCAGATAATTAGATATGCCCACTCTCTTAATATTAGTGAACCACAAATCCAACATTTCCTTCACATTTGAGTTTGCAAGAGCAACTATAAGCTCTCTGTTAACAGCAACCTTCTCCAAAATCTTTGCTAACCTTGGATTCACTGATTCATCAGGAAGAACACTGGGGTTGGTTCGTGAGCCTTTGACGGTACCAAAAGGCCCAGCTTTCTTTTGATCTCCCAACACAAGAACTTGTTTCTCTGCCTGATCTTTCCTTTGCTCAGCCAACCGAATCTTTTCAGTCAATTCTCTAACATGCTTCTTCAACTCGGCATTTTTCTCAGATGCTGCAACAAACTCTGACTTCAACAGGTTGATCCGTTCAGACGACTCGCACGGGGAAGAACCAACCTAGTGCACAAATAACTAAAAATATCAACATCAACATCTTTAAGAACCGCAAATTGCACCCAAAAATATTAAACCATCTGTTATGTGCTTAGCTATTTGATTTCGTAGTGCAAGAACAGCTATATGAACTGCCAACGATTATGTTAAAGAGTATGCATAAACGATTTCCACCTCATGTCAAAGCTTCAAATAAATGCCCAAATGGGAAACGAAAGCCGGTTTGAAAACACGCATCATAGTTCACATCAAGCTTATTCCTCATTATTCCAAACACATACAAATCTGATTTCGATTTATCAAACGAAAAACAAAAGCATGTCAAATTATCAGCTTTAGTATTTCCAAACACTGTCATTTGTCAAGTACATAGCACAGGCAAATCAATTACATTTTCTGGGTTTGAATAAAAAGTCAATGCATCCAAAGCTCAAGTCATCGGGCATCATTTCGCATCGAATTGCCTAAATCCCAATCGCTAATCACCCATTAATTTAAAATTATAAAAAATTTCAAGAACTAATCACTCAAACAGAGAAGTATAAAAACCCAAGAAGGACGAGAAGGAACCTGGGCGATCGATTTAGCGAAGTTGCGATTGAGAATGGCGGCCGGATTGGAAATGGAAAGGAAGCCACTGGGGAAGCAGAAGGCGAAGACGCAGCCGAGAAGGACTCCAACTGCTATGGCGGCGCCGACCTTCGATTTGCTAAGAGACTGCGCTTTCTCTCTGCGACTCACCACCGCCATGCCTTTGTTTTCTCTTCTCAGCTATGCTTTGAGAGGGAGGAGAGAGACAAGGAAAGAGAGGGGAAGTTGCTGTTGTTTAACTTCAGACAGTGGTTGACTTTGTCTCAAAAAAGAAAAAGAACTAATGAAAAGGAATTTAAAACTTTGAGTTTTAATGATAAGGACAAAATAAAGGGTAAAGTGAATAGTATCAGGATTGACTTTTTAGTGTAAAAATGTGGTTTTTCGTTAAAGTGAACAGTACCGGGTGCTTTTCGTTAAAGTTCCCAAAAAGAAAAGACAGTGCTTGACTGGAGCAATGGAAAAATGATATTTACATTGCAATCCTATTTTAGATTAGGAATGTAATTGTGTAAATCATAGTATATATTAAAATATCTCTTCGATTCCTATTAGGAATTGATTACCTTTTAAGAGTTGTAATCCTAAAAGGGTAAGGAATTAACTTTCCCTACTATTATAAATAAAGGCACAATGGGATGGAATAACACACATCCACAATTACACATCTCTCTCTATATTGCACCCTCTCTCTATATGGTCTCCATAATTATTTAGTAAATTATGCCTACAACCCGTTATCATTACACTCTTGACACTGCGCTAACAAGAGAATTTATTATTCAATCACGGGAGTATTACGTTTTAATCATTCTTTTTATGATTAATTTATTATTTTGAATTGATCTACATGTTATTGATTCAATTTAATTTTTCTTTGCTGAACGTGATACAATGCAATTGAGATGCAATTCCGGCTTTCTGCGAAGGATCTTTTACAAATTCAAAGACTTTTGTTGTTTTCTACCAATCAGGTACGCTTAAAATAAAGTAAGATATTTGAAACGACCTTGAAGCATGAAAACATTCCCCATGATGCATGAACCCCCTATGTTTATATTTTCATTCCGATATATATTGTATATATTTCATATATTTTGTCAATATATATATTTGTTCATGCAATACGCAATTATGCTATGTGGAATTTGTGAGTCAAAGTATATACATAAATTAGAAGCAATTTAGGGTTTCCTAAACCCTAGGGATGTCGAAAAACTTTAAATTTTTTTTGGAACAGTTGCGCAGCACCAGCACCACTGCCGTAGACCTTCACGCTGGCCTAAAGCCTAGCAGCGTCGAGCAAGATACCAAGACGATGTCGTTTTGACATCTGCCCATGATTGCAGCCCGTTGGGCTAGAAGCGAGCAAGGACAACCCTGCCTCTTTGGCTTGGGTTTGATTCGATTTTGGGCTTGCAGCCCCAGACCATCCACAGTACGTCCCGCAGCCGTTTGTTCGGCTCTCCCCTTGCACTCATGGCCCAATCACCAACAACCCATATGTTGTTGGGCCTGGTCCCGCACAATTGGCTTGCCTGCATTAAGCACGCGTTGCTTGCTGGGTCATGCCCAAGTCTTGGCCTTCTTCCTGCTGCAATTGCAGCTTGCCTTCTTGCATGGGCTCCGTGCAGCCTGACCCGAGCCCAAAGGCCTGCAATTTTTTGCAGGGCTCTGTATTGCAGCCAACCAAAGTGTGTTGGGCTGCATTCTTTTTTGACCCAATGCTAATTTTTGGCATTTTAAATAATTTTAACTCGAATGTTATTATTATTTTTGCTTCTACGATTGACCCCGTTTGGTCCCAATCTATTGAATTAATTAAAAGTGACCTGCAGTCTATTAATATAATAATGAATCCAAAATTATCTATATACTAAAACCCGGTGGAAAAGCACTGTTCACGAGCAGTGTTTTGGCAGAACTACCCTTGAGCTGCTGCCCATTCACAGCTATTTTTTCCGTTTTTGTACAATGAATTTACAATTGTACCCTTTGTATACACGTGTTGGTCATCGTGGAAAAGAAACCTGCTTCTATGGGATCTCGACGCGTTGATGTGGTTCTAGAAATTCTGGTCCTTCTGGTGGAAGCCAAGCTCTCAGACGTCTGCTTCTTTCTAAAAAAACTATAGCCCTCTGCTTCCCTAACACACCTCTCGCAAACGTCTCTATTGTGTCTTCTGCGATTAACACTTTTGAAACAAGAAATTAAATCGATCTCCAAAAGTTCAACCCCCAAACTGGATCAAGATCCATCACCATCTCGCGGTGCCTTGCTCAGATCGGCTCTGCACTCATCATCAATGACTCTGCCTTCACGGAGGACTCCGCAAATCCCATATAAAGGTAAAGCACGGCCACCTCTCCCTTTCTTCGTTTTCATGGTCGAATGTCAAATCAAGCGACTTTGACTTATGCATGTGTGTATTCTGTAAAGATGCTTCTCAATATGTTGTCTGGACTAAAGAAAATGAGGATGGGGCTCTCGAGAATTTCAAATCCCAAAAAAGAGAAAGGTATAAATTTTGTTTAGTTTCTTTGTATCTATAAGAATAATTTTTATTTTAGGTTACTTCAAAACTGCTGGAGTTTGGATTTCATATGTTTTTTCAAGCGATTTATTTGTTAGATCTTATGGATATTTAAGTATGAATTGGCAGAAGATTGTGCATACGATGATTGTGGATGCAAATTTTCTCCTCCTCGATCTTGGACGATTTTGCACCTACAAAACAACTAGCACCTTAGGTTAAGGCCAAAAGCCTCACGCGCCCACGATGAATGGGGGGGCTTTGGCCGAAGAACCTCCGATGCCAAAGTTAGAATTTTTAGAGAGAAATAGTGTTTTGAGTATTTGAGATTTTTTGCAAGAGGTTTGGAATGAGTGTTTGGTAAAAATGGGTGACTATTTATAGGACTAAGTTGGTCCACTTTTTCAAGAAAGTGGCCGGCCCCTTTGTGTGTTTTTTGGTGAATTTTTGTGGTTTAATTAGTCACTTTATTGGCTAATAAAATATGATAGAAATAAATGGGAAATTACCAAATTGAATGACTAGCTTTATTTGGGTAATAAAGTGGAGGAAATCAGAAAAGGTAGGGAAAAGAAGGGAGGGAATGTGGCTGGCTACTAGGTGGGAGTTTTAGGTTTTATTTTAGGTTTAATTAGCCAATTAATTGGCTAATTAAATATGAAAGGAAATGTTTTAGTACTTTATGGTATTGATTGGCTAATAAAAGGGAAGAAATGATGGAAAAGGTAGAAAAAAAGTGATGGATTAGGTTTTGAATGGGATAGCCGGCCCTATACTATTTTTTAGGTTTGAGTGGATGTTTCAAATTGATAATTAAGGGATGATTTTAGGAGATATGGGAAGAATATATTATTTAGATAATTAATTAACTAAATAATATATTAGGGAAATTAAGTTTTGGAAATAATTACCTAAAATAAGATAATTTGGAATTGGTTACCTCTTCTGGAGCATTTTTGAATTGGTTGAGGATGATTACCCACTACTTGCGCGTAGGAATCCCGGTATGCCTCAAGGGTATTTTTGTCCTCTTTCGTTCAAAAGTCCACGTGTCGCCTAGTGAATATTTTTGGCTCCACAATGATGAAGCAAAGTAGCTGATTTATAATAAGTGACTTTTTCTTTGTTCTTTATTGTACTATAGATTCGAATTTATCATTATAATTTTTTAATTTTTTTGTGCAGTTATATGGTCTGGTTTTTTGCAAAGTGTATGAAAATCATTTGAATGCTGAGAACCTATTATATTCGCGAAGTCCAGGCAATGCTGCTCTACATGATACAAGAGATCGACACCTTCATCCATATGTAAGTTTCTCTAATAAATACTTTGAACAAATGCTTTATGAATTTGAGTTTTTATCTTCTGATTATTTTTTATGCAGATGTGGTATTAATTTTCCTTTGACTAGAAATTTAGAGGTTTCTTAAGGTACAATGTTATCAAACTAAATTTTTCTAATTTTCTGATTTTGGGGTATTGCAGGGAGTGCTAATATACAGATTTTCTGGGATTTTTTGTTTTTGAATGGGTATGTGTTGTTTTTAACGTTTCGGTTCTCACGTGTTTTGTTCTTTTATCTGTTGTTTGCCTACTTTTGTGTTGCTTCTTAATTTTCATTTTTCAATGTTGGGTGATAGAAATTTGTAAAAATAGTTGTAGTTTTCTGAGAAAGTTGTGGATTTTAGTTATATTTTCTGTGTAATCCCAACTATAAGACTGAAAAATAATTGAAAATTGATGGTTTTTATTCTCACTTTCTCTTAAATGTTTTTTCTTGAATTTAAAAGCATCTTTCCCGATTGGTTACTATGGTTCTGCTCTCTCTAATTAGTTATTTCATATTCTCTCCAACATTTTTGTCTAATTTTATTTTTCATTTTTTTGGTGGCTTTCTGCAGAAGTTAGCATGAGATTTTCACATGACATGGATGATGAGTAGAGAAACTCATCTAGAGAATGAACCTACCAAGGTATATGCAAAAATTGTCCTTTGGGTTCATATGGAAGTATGAATTTTCTTTTAGCGTATAACTTTGACGCAATAATTTATCTCATGGATTATAAGATATCTTATGGATTTTACCTACTTGGTAGACAACGCCTGATGTTACTTTAAAGGAGCTGAGATCAGCATGTCACAACAGTCTCACAAGCAAATGCCCAAACTGTATACATCACAGTAGGCAAGTTTCAATCTTTTTAGCTTCCAATTAATATTTCGTGCTGATATTTGATTGCATTGTGTTTGGGTGTTTGGTTTCGGGATTTCTCAAGTTGAATTGCAACGTGGGTAATGAGAAAAAAAATGGATTTGGTCTTTGGTTACAAGGTGACTTCACCTCTCACTCTCTCTAAAACTCAATTTTGAAGTTGTTGTCCATATATATATATATATATATTTTTTTTTTTTGGATCACCATCACCATGGGTCATCTGAATATCAACCTTTTATTTTGTCTTATAGTTTTATCATTGTACATCGTTGGTTGATTGTTTTTGTTTTCTGTGTAAGGTACTCTCTGCAATTTATTGCAAAATAATGTCAATTTTTCCTTCTTTGGAAACAACTAGGAGCCAGTCTGGTATCCAAACTTTATGTTCGCTGCATGTAGCATTTGAAACGATGAAGAATATTCTCTAGCATTGCTCAGAATGTAGTCAACCTTATTTGATAGGTACTCCCTCAATTTGCATTTGTAATTTATGCAGTAGTGCT